AAATAAATAAATAAAATCTTAAAAAAAAAAAAAACAAAAAAACCCCACATGGATGTGAATACATTGTGGCCAAATTCTGTTGCCTGAGAAAGGCCCTGAGTTTGAGAGAGATGCTGGGATACCACACCACACCACACCTGCTTCTTGAGGGACACAGGGCAGAGAGGGAATTGAAGGGCCACCTCTCCCCATGTGATTTCAGGGTGTTCCATGCCATGGTTGTGAGTCCTCTGAGGTCATATCATCCCTCAGATCACCTAAGTCCTGTCTGTGGTTCCCCTTTGGGGAGCGCCTGGTGGAGATGCAAGGGGAAGGCCAGGTATCTGGAGCCAGGCCCCTTGTCATCCCCCACTGCACCCCTCCCCCTGCCCACAGGAGAAACAAAGTCCTGAACCACTTCAGCATCATGCAGCAGCGGCGGCTCAAGGATCAGGACCAGGATGAGGAAGATGAGGAGAAGGAGAAGCGTAGCCGCAAGAAGGCCAGTGAGCTGCGCATCCACGACCTGGAGGATGACCTGGAGATGTCATCTGACGACAGCGAGGCCAGTGGTGAGGAAGGTGAGGCCGGTGGAGCCCCCTGGGTGGCTGGGTCGTACTTTGTCAAGGTGTCTTGAGTGATGACTCAGGGAGGTTAATGCCACTGAAGGAAAGTTTACTCACTCACAGCCCGCTGGGAATGAGAGCATGACACGGCAGGCTCCATGGGCCCCTGGGGAAGCACCAGAGTTGGTAGGAGGCAGAAAGGAGTGACAGGAAGGTCTCAGCGGTGGCCTTTATCGGGATTTCCACGGGATGGGCAATGCAGGGGGTGGGGGCGAACAACTTCCAGATCGGCCAGTTCAAATAATCCTGGCAGGCCCTGGGCTACAGGGGTGGTTCCTGGTTTCTGGCACCCGGTACCCGGTCCTGGGGGCTGTAGGGAAGAAGATGATGGCCCTGAGTATGAGAGTGAGAGGGAGGGAGTTGGGGGTGGAGACTTGGACTGGTCGGGTTTGTGCGTGAGAGGCGAGTGCTTGGGGGAGTCTCTCCCTGGTTAGTGCGGGGCCCCAAGATGTCCAGACATCCTCGGATATGCCAAACAGGATGAGTACCAGCCTGAGCCCCGCTCTACTTCCCCAGGTGGTAGAGCCCCCAAGGCCAAGAAGAAGGCACCACCCACCAAGGGGGGCAAGAAGAAGAAGAAGAAGAAGGGGTCCGATGATGAGGCGTTCGAAGACAGCGACGACGGGGATTTCGAGGGCCAGGAGGTGGACTACATGTCCGACGGCTCGAGGTGAGGCGGGCAGCGGGCAGGAGGCGGCTGGGAGGCCTGGGCCGGCCTGGCCCATGCGTTCCCTCACCCTCTGCCCGCCCTCTGTCTTCCAGCAGCTCCCAGGATGAGCTGGAGGGCAAGCCCAAGGTCACCCAGCAGGAGGAGGGCCCCAAGGGCGTAGACGAGCAGAGCGAAAGCAGCGAGGAGAGTGAGGAGGAGAAGCCGCCCGAGGAGGACAAGGAGGAGGAGGAGGAGAAGAAGGTGCCCACACCTCAGGAGAAGAAGCGCAGGAAAGGTAGGTCCCCTCCCCGCTTCCCGGGTCCTCCCCTCCTCACTCCCAGAGCCCCTTACCTGACGTCGAGCTGGGGTGGGCGGGCACCGTGGCACTGACGTCCCTCCTCCGGCCCGAACAGACAGCAGCGACGAGTCGGACAGCTCGGAGGAGAGCGACATCGACAGCGAGGCGTCCTCGGCCCTCTTCATGGCGGTAAGGCCCAGCCCTGGGGCGGGAGCCGGCGGGCGGCTGTCCTGTCTCTAGACTCGCATCCCCGACCCGATCTCCGCAGAAGAAGAAGACGCCCCCCAAGAGGGAGCGGAGGCCGTCGGGAGGCAGCTCGCGGGGCAACAGCCGGCCGGGCACACCCAGCGCGGAGAGCGGCAGCACGTCGTCCACCCTGCGGGCGGCCGCCAACAAGCTGGAGCAGGGTGAGCAGCCCCGTCCCTGTCTGCCTCCACTTGCCGTCCACCCGCGGTCCCTCGTCCTGCCTCGGGACCGGAAGCCTGGCCGCCCCGAGCCCCCTGCACAGGGGCCCTGGTACCCCTCCGCCTGGGCGCGCAGGGGTGCAGCTGCCGGGCACGGGACTCAGCCCCGCCCCTGCTCCCCCAGGCAAGCGGACGAACGAGACGCCGGTGGCCAAGCGCTTGCGGCTGGACCCCGGGCCCCAGAGCCTGTCGGGGAAGTCGACCCCTCAGCCCCAGTCCGGGAAGTCGACCCCCAGCAGCGGGTAAGTTGGCGAGGGCGGCAGGGCCAGGGCAGGGGCGTGCGGGAGCCTCCTGCTGACGCCCGCCCTGCCCTCGGCTCCTCAGTGACGTGCAGGTGACCGAGGACGCCGTGCGCCGCTATCTGACACGGAAGCCCATGACCACCAAGGACCTGCTGAAGAAGTTCCAGACGAAGAAGACAGGGCTGAGCAGCGAGCAGACGGTGAACGTGCTTGCCCAGATCCTCAAGCGGCTCAACCCCGAGCGCAAGATGATCAGCGACAAGATGCACTTCTCTCTCAAGGAGTGACGGGCTCTGGCGCCCACCCACCTGCCCAATAAACAAGCTCCGTCTCCAGAACTTCCTGGGTGCTCGCGTTGTCTGGCCCCTGCTCCCCAAATCCCAGAGCCCCGCCTTGTCAATTCCAAATCACCCTGGGCAGTTTTCTCAGCGGAGGTCTCTTCCTCTCATGGGCCCCTCCCTCTGGAACCTTCCGCTGCCCCTTAGAGCCTGTTCCTCTTGGTCATCAGCCTGTCGCACTCACTGAGCATCCACCCCACATGGGCACGTGGGCTGTCTCTCCAGCTCTGGCTCCTGGTTCTGTGTTTAGTTGTAGCTGGTCCCCCTTAGCCCATGAAGTGCTTCGCTTCCAAGGACTGTTCTCCAGTCCTTGAATCATCTTTGCTTCCTTTTCAGATCAGCCGGTCTGTTTTGCGTGCCTTGCCCCTAATGCTTTTGATCCCTTCTTTCACATTTTTGTTTTAAGCATCTGTCTTCTTATGGTCTCTGCCAGACACCTGGTTCCTGAAACTCGCAGGCATCCTGTGTTACCTTCTGATTCCTCTTCACGATCGATTGTTGTGTTTTATAACTTTGAATGGGGACCTGAGGCCGGCTCAGGGGTTCTGTGGGGGCCTCCTGGGCAGTCGGCTTTGCAGGCCAATCCTGCAGGTGCTTTTTGCCTTTGCTCCCTCCCACCCAGGTGGCCCAGGAGCCCTGGGCTGAGCCCGGGTTAGGTGGTTCTCAGCTGGTGGGCTCTGGCCCAACGTGGCCACGACATCCCAAACCCTTTTGTTGCTGATGTTGGCACCTGGGCCCTGTTTTTCAGCTTTCCAGCGATGTTTCTAGGGCTCCCCTTATTTCTAACAACTTAGTTATGCATTTATTTTATCTTGCGTTGCCGGCGTTCTGCCTTGGGAAGGCTTTTTGAGTTCGTGGACAGTTTCATTGAGGGAAATGGAATTTGGCCGTGGTGCCACTTTTGAACCCCTGTTCTGTGTGATCGGCTGGAGGGAAGGGGGCAGGATGTGGGGCTTCCGCCTTGCCCGAGGCTGGATACTGGGTGGAAAACTTCTCCACCCAGTTCCACAGGCCCTTGGCTGCCGAGCAGAGATGCCAGAGATGACAGGCTAATTCCTAGGAATGTCCCAGGTCCATCCAGCCTCCCTCCCCATCCTTCCGCCAGGCCTTTTGGGGGCAGCAGGAAAGCAGTGTTGCCCCTGACCCGGCGATTTTACCCCTGGCTTCCCTGCCACGGGCCTGAGGTCTGAGGCCTCCCCAACCGGGCCGGCCCATGTGCCCCAGTGGGTAGGTGCAAGGGCCTTGTGTTCAGCAGCATCTGGCTTAAAATCCTGCCAGTGTTTAATTCTGGGCCACTTTGGCCAAGTGACAGTTTTTGTCTGAAGGTGGTCCCAACAAGCACCACAGTAACCACACCAGCAGGACGCAGAGTTTGGGTTACTCCCAGTCTTAACTAACCTGGAAAGCGGCTCCTGAGCCTGTCTGTGCTCACCTGTGTAGGGCGAGTTCCCGAGCCCGTGTTTTCCTGGGGGAGGAGGGAGGTGACTGGCAGTTTCCAGAGCAAAGGCTCAGCTGCTGCGGGTTTGCACCCCTCCCCACAGCCTGGGGTGTACCTGCGTCACACACATACCCCCAGCCGTGGGGAGGCATGTGCTGGTTTTTGCCCCCTGGCTGCAGGCTCCTACCTGAGTTTTCGCCCGGTCTGACCTACGTGGGATCGAGCACCTCTTAAAGCGCGAGCCCAAGCTCTTCGTGCTTCCTTTGCCTCAAAGGGAGGCTTGCTCTCGCAAGCTCCTCACTCGGGCAGCATGTTCAACACTAAACGTGCCGTCTGTCTGTCCTCAGAACCTCTGATTAGCCCCCTTTCACAGTGAGGGTGGGCCTCGTTTCCCTGAGGTCACAGGGGCTGGGCATGGAAGTCACTGGAAATTGTTGCTGCCTCTCAGACCCTGCGGGTTTACCCTCCCCTCCAGCCCTCATGCCGGGACGGGGCTGAGGTCCCAGGGGCCTCAGGTGGGCCTTCCAGAGACAGGAGTCCCTGCAGGGTGAGCTTCCTAGCCTCGTGTCCCAGTTCTTGGCTGTCCCCGGGCCTCTCCCTTTTCCTGTTTTGATGCTGGCTCAGCCAGGCCCGGAGACAGGGGCATGATGTCTTAATCCTCCAGGTGGCAGCCATGATGGAGGATCCCCGTCAGCCTGGCCACCTGCTGACCCGTCTCTCCCCACTATCCCCCTCTACCTGGTGCACGGTGTGGGGACCCCAGAGCCCTGACACCCTAAGTGGGGAGAGGGTCCCACTGGTGGGTCCTCAGTGCCCCCCCCACCTCTTTCCAGAAAGCAGGTGGGGTGGGGGACCCCGCGGCCCGCCCTGGCTTCAGCTCTGGCTGCCGCAACCCTCGTAAATCAGGGGTGAAGGGGGTGTCGGAAATGGGTCTGCGGAATGTCTGGATGGGGCCGGGAGGGGGTGAGCACTTAACTCTTAAGAGGCACAGGGGGTGGGGCAGAGGAACTGGCCTGAGGATGCGGGGTCGTCCTGCCGCTACAGCAGCAGGAATGAAGAGGTTATTTCCCCCGCCCCCGCAGGGGGATAAATTGAGGGTGCGAGGCGTCCCCACCGCCACGACCCGCCCGCCACGATGGCCATGGGACGAGTCCTACTCTGCTCTCTGCTGCTCCTGTCGCTGCAGCGGGGCCTCAGCAGGGGCCCCGGTGCTCGGGGTGCTCTGGTGGCGGAGGAAGAGCTCCGAGGGACCCAGAGGACGCAGTTGGGTAAGGACTCCCGGACCCCGCGTGGCTCCCCAACTCCTTCCTGCCCAGACGCCGCTTGCTGTCAGCTGCCCCTTGCCCCCCGCAGGTGCCCGCCTGCGCCGAGCCCTGGCCAGCCCGTGCCAGCTGTGGAGCCTGCCCCTACCTGTGGCTGAGCTGGGTCTGGGCTACGCTTCGGAGGAGACGGTCATCTTCCGCTACTGTGCGGGCAGCTGCCCCCGCGGCGCGCGCACCCAGCACGGCCTGACGCTGGCCCGGCTGCGGGGCCAGGGCCGAGCCCACGGCGGGCCCTGCTGCCGGCCCACCCGCTACGCCGACGTGGCCTTTCTCGATGACCGCCACCGCTGGCAGCGGCTGCCCCAGCTCTCGGCGGCTGCCTGCAGCTGCGGCGCCTAAGGACGCCTGGCCTGGGGCCCCGCGGCTCCGCGAGGAGCTCTGCGGACTTATTTATTGGAGACCGGAGGGGAGGTGGGCTGCGGGCAGGCCACGAGGAGCATAATAAAGGAGCTGCGGCCGCAGGACTGTGTTCAGCCAGAGTGTGCCTTGACCCCACCATCTCAGCTCCCGGTGCGGGGAGGCGGGGGGGCCGGGGGGGGGTCCTGGGCCGCCCCTGCTCCGCTCGGCCCCTGCGAACAGCCAGTGAGCTTGTCCACTCTCCAACTTTATTCACAAACACGGTGTCTCCGAGAAGCTGGGGGAAGGGCCTGGGGTTCAGCAGGCTGGGGGCGGCTGCCCCGGCTCCCCTGGTCCCATCCCCTCAGGGAGGGAGCGGCAGATCACAGAGATGCGTCGGCCCCGGGGAACCCGACGCTCCCCAAAAAAGGACTCCTCATCCCGAAGAATCTCATGGGAGAAGTCATAACGGGCTGAGCCCCTGCAAGAGAAAACAGACTGTGGCAGCATGGGGTGAGGGCAGCCCCTGCGCCAGGCGGACTGCCTGCCATGGGGGAATGATCGAGTCCGCTGGGAGGGCTGAAAAAGAGAAGGTGCTGGACATGCTAGGTGGGCATCTGATGAGTTAATGGGGCGGGGGGCTCCCTGGCTGGGCAGTACCTAAGGATGTAGAGGGAGCCTGGCTCCAGCAAGAGTTCCAGCCACTCCCCTGGCTCCTGGGTGTGCACCAGCCGCATGACGCTGGGAGAGAGTAGGGACAGACCAGCGATGGTGGCTCCACAGAACTGGAAGAGGGGGCATGGTGGCCAGTCAGCCTCTGGCCTGGCCGGCCCACCCCCAGCTGGGAGCTCCAAGGCTCTGGCCTCTGCCCACCTTGATGCTGTCCACGTGCGGCTTGATGTAGCCCCGAGGTTCCAGGTCCAGCACATGCACCGGGGACAGCAGGGTCTGGCCAGGGCTAAAGGCAGCTGCTTGCACGCGCTGCAGGATGGCCCGGCTTGCCTCTGACCAGCGTGACTTTTCCGTCTCTCGGAAACCGTGGATGGCCTACACAGGGAGCTTCGGTCAAGTCAGGAAGCTCCCAGAGGGAACAGGAAAACTGAGGCCCGGGGGCGGGGGGAGGGGGGGGATGGAGAGGGTGGTGAGCAGAGTGCAAAGGACTGGTTTTCCCAGCATGACCTTTGACACCACCCTCAACTTACCACCTTGGTCCTATCTACCCTAAGATCCTGGGTCTCAAACCCCAACCCCTGTCCTACTAGGCCTGGCCTTACTCCTTTGCACCCGCCTTCAGGTTCCAATTCAGTCCCAGAGCTTGTCCCCAATGCTGGCCCACCGCAATATTCAATATTGTCTGTCTCGGCCCACTCAAGTCTTCTGTCTCCGCCCCCAACTGGTGACTCTCCCTCATCTCGCTCCACACCTGTTTCGGCCCCAACCTTGCTGCTGTCCCCTAAACACCTTACAGTTCCAGGTCCGGCCTCCAGCTATGGCCAAGCCCTCATCTCCGAAGTGCCTTCCCTGCCCGCAAAGCCCCCGGGCATCAAGACCCCGCCCCCAACTATAGCCCCCTTACAACCCAGTGCCCCACCCCTGCGCCCACCTTTAACGCCACAGGCCCCGCCTCCGCCGTAGCCCCGCCCAGAGCGTCATTCCAGGCCCCGCCCGCACGCGGCCCCGCCCCCAGCGCCGCCGGCCTCACCGCGTCCCAGTGGTCGTATTCGTAGCGATGGCGGCGCAGCTCGGGCTCTAGCTCGCGGCTCAGCGTCTCCTCCTCGGCCGCGCTTAGGAAACCTGGCCGCACCACAGCCGCGTCCCGAAGGCGGCCCAGTACAGCCGGGCCCGAGCCCCGCACCCAGCCGGGCACCGGTAGCGTCCCCAGCGCCAGCCGACCACTCCCAGCCATAACCCCGGAGCCGGGTTGTGGAAGCGGTCGGAGTCACGGCTACGCCCCCGCCCCGAGCCATTGGCTGTGGCCGCACCGAGCCGCTTCAGTGATTGGCCTTCCCCAGAGTCCCGCCTCCCGGCCAAGGCTACTGGTTGCTGCTCGGCTCGCCCGCTCAAGCTATTGGCTTCCCGTAGAACCCACCTCTTCCCCCGCTGTGGGGCGCCGTAGGTGATGGAGGCCGGGGGGCGGGGCTCGACGGCGGGATTCCGCCTGGGGTTCTGGGCCAGGGGCTATTGGAGGCTTTGGGCCAAGGCCCGGGTTGTGGAGTCGGCCGGGACTTGAGATTAAGGGAAAAGTCCGCTCAGGCTGAGAGGAAGGGGTTAAGGGCACGGGGTTCAGGGTAGTGACATCAAGGCCATGATCATGGGGTGGGGCCAAGTTAGAGGTTGGGGTCAAAGGTTGAAGCCAAGCATCACCCATGCCCCCTCTCAACTGGGTTATTCCCACCCGTGTACAAACAGGCTGGCTCCCACCTTATAAGTAAAAAAAAAAAACCCTCCTCTTCCTTTAAGCGTAGAATTGACAGAGCACCACTTTGCTGCCCTTATTGGAACATTTAGTGGATCTAGACACGGATTGTTATCTGCCCCTAACATCACAAAATGAGGGACCACGAGACTTTGGGCGCCTCCTGATGGACGTGCGCACCTCCACCTAAGAGGTCACTTGCCAAAAATGGAACCTGAATCTGATCAGACTTATCTAGGTTTATACCTCAAGTCACAGGAAATATCAAGGACAGAGGTCACAGCCCATCCTGATCCAATCATCAAAATTCAGATGGAAAGTCCCCGAGAAAAGAGAGTGAATTTCAAGGAAAGAGAAGAAAAAGAGGGAGAGACTGAGAGAGAGATTAAGGGGAAAACCCACAGTTAAAAGAGACTTTGGGATATACCTACCAGTTGCAAGGTGCACCTTATTTCGATGCTGATTCGAACAAACTAAAAACATAGAGGTAACCAGGGAGATTTGGACACTGGTTGAATATGTGACGATAGTTAAGTATTGGTTTTTTTAGGTTTGCAAATGGTATTCTGGTGGTCTTTTTAAAGATTTATCTTTTTAGAAATACATGTTGGAATATTGACCCCACGACCCCTCCAGGGACAGCCACAGGTTCTCTGCTCTCCTTATACAATGAAATTCCTTGAAAAATGTGTCCAGCTCCCATGTCTTCCCGCCCCTTCCCTCTGGGTGCACTCCAGGCTGGCTTTTGGCCCCCACAGCACTGAAAGTGCCCCTCCAGATCCAGCAGCCGGTTCTCAGCCTGACTGCTAATTTATCGACATACCGATGATGTCTTTTCCATTTTCATTCCCAACCCTCATCCCAGATTTATCCATCCCCTGGGATGTCTGAGGCACATCAAACACCAGAAGTAAAGTGTCCAGACTCGACTCCTGATCCCCTGCCCCCGCACCTGCGCCTCCCTGTAGCCATTCCACCTGTCAGCTCTGCCTTAAAACCTGGCTAGAATCTGACCTCTCCTGGCCACCCAGCTGGGGCCGCCAGCCTTCATCTGATTATTCCAAGTCTCTGAACTGGTCTCCGGTTTCCATGCTGGCTGCAGTCCTCCCAGTACTCCATGGAAGCCACAGTCTTCCTGCTTGTCATTCTTAGAACCCTCCATGGCTCATCTCCCTCCTTGCTCAGATCTACCAGGCCTTTTAAGGTCTGTCCTCCTTCCTTTCTGTTCTCATCTCTCCACTGTCCCCCTGCCATTCCACTTCAGCCACGAGCGTCCTCAGGGGCCCCTCCCACATGGCAGCCACAGTCCTGCCACAGGGCCTTTGCACTTGCTATGCCCACTGCCTGGACTGCTCTGTCCCTCTCTCACCTTAAACCTTGTTCAAGCATCACCTTCCCAGCAAGGCCTTCACTGGCCACCCCATCGAAAGCTGTAACTCTCTCTCTCTCTCTCTCACACACTGCATAACTATTTCCCTGCTTTTTCAAAAACTGTCTACCTCCTCAAGAAGAAGTTCTTTGAAGACAGGGATTTTTGTTTTCTTCACGATATGTCGTGACCTCTAGAACAGTGCCTGAAATGTCCTATTTGTTCAGGAGAGTTGGCTGCAGTTAGGGCTCGGAAGGTCAGAGCCTCAGGGTCACGGTGAAAGCAGAAGAGGCCTTGTGCAGGGCACACGTGTGCGTGCCACGGTGGAGCAGGCAGGGAAGGTGACATAGGTGGGGATCAAAGACTACAAAGATTTAATTGAAAATCATAGTGTCTCATTCCAGATACCTGCCCTGAGGGGCAGCCCCAAACCCAGAGTTCCTCACGGGGCCCTTCCAGGCTCAGCAGCGAGGGGTGGGCAGGGCTGTGGCTCCAGCGTCTGACTGGCGCCTGGCTCCCCCGACTTTCCTCTGGAGGGTGAGGTCCAGCTCTCAGATGCTTGCTGGGGCGGGCTCTGCGGCCGCCACCACCGCCACGGGCTCCTTCTGCACCAGCTCCGGCTCGTCCTCACCGTCCTGGGGAGGGTGGACCAGAACCTTGTCTAAGATGCCAAACTCCTGGGCCTCCATGGGGCTCATGTAGCGGTCCCTCTCCATGGCCGACTCTGCCAGGGGAAGCAAGGATGTGTGGGGTTAAGGACGGATACCTGGGGCCAGGCTGGGGTCCCTGTTCTGCCACTTCTTCGCTGGATGACCCTGGCCTTCCTGTCTTGGTGCCTCAGTTTCCCCATCAGTAAAATACCCATTTCCATTTTTCTTTTTTTACTGGTTATTGATGTCTAATATACACCCAGATGGCAAGCAGACAGTGTGAATTTCAGACAGAGCATAACCCACATGGCCAGCACCCGGGCCCCCGACCGCCCCCTGCTTGAGCCTGCTTCCAGTCACTGACTCCTCCGACCCAACAGTAATCGCTAGCCTAACGGTGGCCTGACGGCATAAATAAGCCTGCTTCTTTTTGTTTTTAAATATGTGGAATCAGGGCGCCTGGGTGGCTCAGTTGGTTAAGCGACTGCCTTCGGCTCAGGTCATGATCCCAGGGTCCTGGGATCGAGTCCTGCATCGGGCTCCCCCTGCTCTGCGGGGAGCCTGCTTC